GCCCCCACCCCTCACGGATCGACCCTCGGTTCGGTCAACAAGGCCGCCGCTCGTGTCAGTCGGCCTGACTGGCGCAGCGCCAGTCGCAGGCGGGCCTTGAGACGGCTCAACGACGAGGGAGGAGGGAGGACGGCGACGACGCGAACGACAAAGAAGGAGGGAGGACGGCGACGCCGACGACGACAACGACGCGGGAGGAGGGAAGACGACGACGACGACGACGACGACGAAATAGGAGGGACGACGACGAGACGCCGACGACGGACGACGACGACGACGAGGGAGGAGGAGGAAGGACGACCACGGCGACAACGACGACAGAAACGACCACGACGCCAAAGAGGACGACGAGGACGAACACAAGGAAAGACAGAGGACGACGTAGGCGACGACGACGACGACGCGGGAGGAGGGAGGACGGCGACGACGACGACGACGACGACGCAAGAGCACGCGCACGCTTTTGTTGAAAATCCGTGTTGCGAAGCCTTGTGTTTTTGTAGGTTTTTTGGACACACGATTTTGCAATCCTTCCGAAACCGATGGGTTTTGAAGGATTTCGGCATACGCGCGCGACGACGCGCGCGTCTGCACTTCGTCCCATTTTTTGCAGAGGATTCTCGCGACGGCACACGCGCAAGGGCTTTCGATAGATTTCGACATGCGCGCGCGAAGCCCGTTTAATAGCACGTCGTGAAAATATTGAAAAACCGATGGCTTTCTTAAGATTTCGCAGGAGCTCGCGCGGAAGCTTTTTTAGCAAATCAGTGTTGCGAAACCATGTATGTTTGCAGGTTTGTTGGGAACTCGATTGCGAAATCCTTCCGGCACCGAAGGTTTTTGAAGGATTTCGGCATGCGCGCGCGACGACGCGCGCGTGTGCACTTCGTTTATTTTTTGCGAGGGATTCGCGAAAAAGTGTTATGTTAGAACCAAAGATGTCCCCGCATAGTGTTCTTTACAGGGGAACCTCAGGGGGGGGAACCCGGCCCCCCTGGGATAGTGTAAATTCATACTTAGGATGGACATGTGGTCAGAATCATGTGTGATTTACATACCCGAAAAGGGGGACCGATAACACTGGGGGGGGGTAGATCCGATTCTGTTTTTAGAAAGGAGAATGTACATAGTGCAACTGATGTTGCGCCTATGGTGCAATCAAGGTTGTGCGATCTATGTTGTGCGATCTATATGATGCAATATATGTTTTGTAATATATATATATATATATATATATATATATATATATATGATGCGATCTACATTGTGCAACCTATACGGTACGATCTATGTCTCGCAAACCAGCGCAACGCAACGCAATGCGAAGTAAGGCAACCCAATGCAAAGAAATGCACAGCAACGCAACGCAATGCAAAGGGGCGGCGGCGACGTGACAGGGCGGCGACGGCGACAACATAGCCGCCAGACTGGCGGTCAGGCCTAGACGACGGGCGGCGACGAGGCGGCGGCGGCGACAATATAGACGCCAGACTGGCGGTCAGGCCCAATTCCTTAGAACAGAAATAAGAGCCCCTAAGAGCAATCCTTGTTTCGGGGATGAAGGAAAGGGATGGAGGACGGAGGAGGACGGGGGAGGACTGAGGAGTGGAAGAGGTGGAGGAGGAGGAGGAGAAGGAGGAGGACAGAGGAGCAGGACGGACGAGCTGCGACGGACCGGGCTGCATCGGCACGGAGTCGAAAACAAATCGTATCGAACAACGTTGTTGCTCCAGTCTCCAACAGGAACGCATACCCAAAGATCGTTTCGCAATCCACCACGGTGCTTTTCATACGCCCCCAAGGCTTTTCACACCACCCCGAAACCTGTTCACAAACAGCCAACAAACAGTGTTCACCACAACCCCAACAACCTTCAAGTTTTTCGCACAATCCAGAAAGACTTTCATATCCCGCCCCCGTTGACAACCACCCCCGAAACTGTTCACGTTGTCTCCCAAAAGATGCTCACAATTATCCGCTTTTCAAACAAGCACCCCAGATCTGTTCACAACCACCATCAAGCGTTCTCCTGGTTAAAGATTTTTATGAATGGCTCCCCGAAGCTTTCCAAAGCAAACAAGCAACTTTCCCCGTATGGTTTAGCACAACCACTGAGACCATTTCTATACGCCACAAGAACTTATCACAACACCCCAGAAAAGGTCACGATCATCCCTGAAACGAATTTCTCAACCACCGAACACCTGTCCCCCACAAACCTTGCCACTATTTACACACCACCCCAGAAGCCTGTCACAACCAGCTCCTAAAAATTTCATGCCGACCACATTTTTATGAGAACACAGAAAGCGTTTCGCAACTACCCCGAAACGTGTCCACAACCAGCCCAAGAAATTGTCACACATTCATCCTGGGACGAATATTTGACAGCCGTACCAAGGCCGCGCGGGCGCTTCGCGCGCTTATGTCCTAGTGTGGACCATGTGCAACGGAAGTTGCGCGCAGCGACGTATCAGTGGTCACAGTTGCAGAGAAGCACGCGCAAGAGTGACCCACGAGTGTAGAGTACAATCGCGCAGAGTGGTTCAAAGGCTGTCGCCAACGAACTTAATATACACCTGGCAGAAGCCCATAACTCATCATGTGCTACTGCTGTTTGGGGGCTCTTGAAGCAGTTGTGGATATCTCTTGGGGCGTCGTCAGCCCCTCTTGGAACCACTTGGCGCTCTCCTGGGCTTCTCTTGGGACCGCGTCATGGCAGACACAATACGATTATATCGTGAAGCCCTCGCTGGACTGAAACATATAGGAACATGACAAGAAGGGCCCCCTTGAGGTTATTAAAAAACAGGGCGTCTCGTGACGTCGTGTTTTTTTTGACGTCTTGAAACGCCCCCACATAGGAGCCCTCGTGACGTCTTGGGCCATCTCGGAGGGGCTCTGGGGAACTAGGCCCTGTCACGAAGGATGGGGACCGGGTCCACCCAGCAAAGCGGAGGTTCGCAGTCCCAGAATTTGGCCTCCTTCCTTCCATGGGTAAGCTTGACGCACATGTGAACACATTGGACTGCGTAGGAGTCCGCGCTCACAAGCACGAAGAGATTGTGCAAGTATGAACAGGAATCTCTGGAAATGCGAAAAGATGGCTGGGAGCACAGAAACTCAACTGCGCAGCGGAATGTGAGGCGCACAAGCACCGCAGAGGAGCGTGGGCGCATATCACATGGGGGAAGGTTTGGGATGGCTCAGACGACGATAATGATAGAGGCCTCCTGGGTAAGGTCCGAGGAGATGTGCTCGGAGGATTGCGCCGCATCGCCGATGCATCGCCGACGCATCGGCGATGCATCGGTGACGTCGGCGCTGCGTCGGCGCCGTCCGCATCGAGCCGCATCGGCGACGATGCGGCGACATCGCACTGCGTCGTGACCTCTCGTTTTGGGCGTCAACGTCAGCACGCGGCACGGCCTTCGCAACGGCTTCCTCGTGCAGCGCGGGGGGCGTGTCGCCCCAACGCCCCGTTGGATGTCGGGCTGCCCCACACAAGTGAAATCTGCCATCCCCTCGGGGAGCGAAGGGCATCGCCGTGGCGAGGAGCCCAAGCATCACCCTAGCGGCCACCCGCCAGCAACGCTTCATTGCTGACGGCATCGGGCACCGCCTCGCAGCGCTCCTTCGCCCAAGTGGTCCGATCCGACAACGCGGCTGGTCATGTATAGCCCTGAACCCAAACACGTTGTCATTTCTCGGGCACGACTTTTTCCAACTTCCACTGGTTTCTGCCGGCGAAGGCGGCACGGTTTTACTTGTGCTGCCTTCCGCGAGCATTGCGTCGAGGAAGAGATGACAACCCCTTCGATCGTGGAAGGCAAGACCCTTTCTGCAACGCGCCTTTCTGGCTACGGAATAAAGCTGACCGACATTTTGGAATGAACGCCGGCCTCTGGGCCAATACATGCCTCAACGAAGTCTAGCGCACGCTTTGTCCTGCAACGCGTCGACAACCCTCAGGCCCCAAAATCCCATCAGCCACCTGGGGCCCTCCCCCCAGGCCCTCTCCTGTGGTCTGGACAAGTCCGACCGCGAGGGGTTAGCGTGGGGTCCTCCTCCTCCTGCTCCTGCTCCTGCTCCTGCTCCTCCTCCTCCTCCTCCTCCTCCTCCTCTGGGAGACCACCGGGACGGCTGGACGTCGGGAGGCTCTGGGACATACTTGGGGGCTCTTGGGCATCAGGTGGCATCGAGAAGCATCCAAGAGATGACTCAGTTGCCGCCGGGCGGCGCGGGGCAATGGGCATCCGTGGGGATCCAGTCATCAAGCGGCACCCGTGCCTTACCCACCCCACCTCCTCCTCCTCCTCCTCCTCCTCCTCCTCCTCCTCCTCCTCCTCCTCCTCCTCCTCCTCCCTTATTATCACCACCACCACCTCCTCCCTCGCTTTGCCGACTCCCGAACTAATAATACTCACCCTCCGCCGCCCCCACCTCATCCCTCTACCCGTTCTCGCCCTTCTCCTCCGCCTCCGCCTCCGCCCTTCTCATCCCTCCGCTTCGTCCACCTTCCCCTCCCCGGCCCCATCCTGCTCACCTGACTCTGTCCGCCCATTCGTCATGCGACTGAGGCCGTGGCTGCCGTGGGCCGCCCTGGACGGCAGTCCACGGCGACTAGAGGAGGTCAGCAAGGCATGAGGCACGGGGGACGAAGGTGCTCACCAAACGGCGGAGCGCGACGCAAAGTGAGGTCTCCTCCACCCCGCCCAGCTCCTCCAGCGCGCCCCTTTGGTAAGCGTCGCCTTCGTCGTCGTCGTCGTCGCCGCCGCCGTCGGCAAGCTCTTTGCCGTGCCGTTCGTCGCCGACGTCGCCGCCGTCGCGTCGCCGTCACCGCCGTCGACCGCGTCGGCGGGCTCCTCGTCGGTCTGTTTGTCGCCGTCGTCGCTGCTCGCCGCTGGCGTCGACGGCATCGTCGCCATCGCTGGCGTCCTCGTGACCAGCGGCGATCACGGCGGCGTCGTCGCGTCGGCGTCCGGCCGCGAGGGGGCCGCCTGCGCGGCAGCGCCCTCGTGGTCGTGCGCCGCGACGGCCGCCAGGGAGGCCCCGCTGGGCGCGCCGTGGGAGGCGCGCTGCAGGAGCGAGGGCACCTGGCGCACTGCGGGCGGGGAGGGCGACGGCGACACCGTCGGCGACGAGCAGCACGACGAAGAGCCCTGCGGCGGCGACGGCGGCGAAGGCGGTGCGCGCAACGGCGCTGAAGACTTGCAGCGGAGGCGGCGCTGACGGGGGTCGACGACGACGGCTGCTGTCTGATCCCGGCGGCGCTCGCAGCGGGTTGCACGAGGGTGGGCGGCCTTCTAAGAGGGCGTGGGGCTTCTGAGAAGGTAGGGGGCCGTCAAACTTCTCAGAAACCTCTGGGCCCTTCTGATGAGGCCCCGAGGGAAGCAACACGGAAGCGAGGTGAGACGCGGGCTGAGATGCGAGGGATGGGAAAGGGGAGGCGGGACGTGCTTGGAAGCGTGGGCGACACCGGTGGGAAGAAACCAGAACCCCACTTCGCATGTGGGGGGGAACCGAGGTACGACTGTGTCTGCGTTGTGTGTCTGATGGAAGCGAGGTGCGGCGGGGGACGAGGGGAGGGGGGCAAACGAGAAGGAGCAGGGGGAGGAGGGTGAGGCGCGGGTACATCGTTGGTGGGGAAACATCCAGAAACCCACTTGGCATGTGGGGGATCACCCGCGGACCCTAACGAGCGGCCGTGAGGGGGGGGAAGGCGAGGCCTAACGGCCTAATGGGCGGACGGGCGCGACAAATCCCGACGGGAGGGCGGGCGGTCGCTAGGGCGGGCGGCGACAGGGCGAATGCCACCTCCGCTGAAGCGCAGGCGGAGCGAGATGCGTACACAGCACTGCTCCCTCACCTCGCTTCCGCGCTCGCTCCAAACCCCCGTCTCCCCTCCTGCCCTGTTCCCTCGTGCTACTTCCCCTCGTCCCAACCGTTCCTCCTCTACAGGACTTACCCCGTCGACGGCCGCGGCGGCCACGGCGACAACGACGACGGCTGCCACGGCGGCGACGGCGGCAACAGCGGCCACGGCGGCCACGGCGGCTATGGCGGCTGTCGGCGGCAAGCGCGCTGGCAAGGGCGCCTCGCGAATGCCCCTCATGGCGGCAACTTGGCCGGTGGCCGCCTGGCCCGACCGTCGCCGTTGTTGTCACCGTCGCCCCCGCCCCCGTCGTCGCCGTCGTCGCCATTGACCGCCTGGCGCGACCGTCGCCGTGCTGTCGCCGTCGCCGCCACCGTTGTCGTCGCCGTCGTCGCCGTTGTCGCCGTCGCCGCCCTCGCCGCCGTCGCCGCCGCCGTCGCCGCCGTCGTCGCCGCCGCTGTCGACGTCGTCGCTGCCGTCGCCGCCGCCGCCGTTGTCGCCGTCGTCGCCGTCGGCTGCGATTTGGTCGTCTTCGCAATGAAAGAAAAACAAGAAGAAGCAACACGCAATGCATACGGGTGGTGCCCTGGCAGGAAAATTACCTATCTGGGGCACTGGGCTATCAACAAAACGCTATCCAGGGCGAAAAGAAACAGTATAGGGGAGGGGGTCGAGTCTGAGCGTAACGCGCTGGAAGAGACAAACGCTCACAACAAAAACGCTGCGTCGGGCAGCTGGGGAGTCAGACCCTCTGATGTTGCATCACCAGCCCTCGCGCTTCGCACCTGCGCGAAGCGCGAAGCGCGGCTGCCCTCGGGCTCCCGCCGCGCTTCAACCCTGGACAACGGCAGCCTGCTCTCGCGCAGCCTGCGTGGAGAGGCGCGCGAGCGCGAAGCCAGGCTCTCGCCAGGGCGGAGGAACCGCAAAGCGCGACTGCCCTCGCGCTCCCGCCGCGGTTCCACCCTGGACAACGGCAGCCTTCTCTCGCGCAGCCTGCGTGGAGAAGCGCGTGAGCGCGAAGCCAGGCTACCGCTACTGCGTGGCCGAGGAACGCGAGGCTCTCCGAGGCCATCGTCTGTAGGCCTTCGCCGCGAAGGCCTTCGTGGACAAGCTCTGCGGGCGCCGCTGTGCGGGGTGCGGCGTCGTATCATAAGGATGCGCGGTGAGGATGCAAGGGCCTTGGGCGCCCGCTTCTAACCTTTTCGAGCGGGGCGCGGCCAACGAAAATGACCAAGGATAGACCCATGAGGTAAGGATGCGAGGGTACCCTTGGGAAGGTTGCCCATCCTTGCGATGCGGGTTGGCTGTAACAACCCCCGGCAAGGCTGTCTTTTGTGCGCCTCCGGGTGACTCTGACCAGGTCGCGGGGGCCGCGAAAAGGTCACGGCTGACATCCGCGATCCCTCGGGCTCGCGGCCATGGGACCTTCGCGCGCGATCGGCCCAGTTCGAAAAGCTGGGTGCGCAGAGGTGAGGTGGCGAGCTCTAGCCGCGACTTTACGCGGCGTCGGGTCTCGGGGGGACGGCAATGATATTCCCACAACAAGAGAATCTGGCCACGGCGGCGTTCTGGGCAAGTGGGGTGGGGTAGGGGTGGGCAAACCAGGCCCACGCGACGTCCCTTTTGGGCACACCGGCGGGGGGGCGCAAGGAAGAAGAACAGGCGATTGTCCCTCCTCCGCAGAGCTGCAGCAGCACTTCCTGGTCCACGAGATGCGGAGCGCGCTTAACCAAATGGCAATATGGCACGTGCGTTTGGCTCAAGCGGCGCCGACCGGGGCTGGCGGTCCGCCCTCACCTCCGGAGGTCCCGACCCCTTCCCCCTGGGGTAACATTCTGTCCAGGACAGATCCTTGATTTTCTCACGGCCCAAGAACAGGCCCCGCGGAGCCCGAAAACAGGGAAACGCTCTGGCATTGAACAAATCAAACCGCTGGAGACCTAGACCCAGACGCCACGACTGTTTAGCAACGTCGACCCCGAGGAGCGCTAACATTTATGTTCGGCGATGACGGGCGTCATGGGAGGAGGGGGAGGGGAGGGGCATGACGTAACGCCCCCCCCGCCGTGTGGCTCCGGTACCGCAGCCGCGCCCGCGCGCGCGACGCGACGAGCGACGAGCGACGACGACGACGACGACGACGACGACGACCACGACGACCACGACGATCACGACGACGACGACGTCGACGACACGAGCAGCATGTAGGTGGCGATATGCCCCACTGCGCCAGTGTACACCACAACGCTCGCGTGCACCACAGCGTGCGTATACCACAGCGCCTGCGCACACCGCAACAACCGTGTGCAACGCAGCGACTGTGTACACCACAATGCTTGCGTACACTGCAGCGCCGGCGTGCCATTGCACACCGCAGCTACCATGTGCAACACAGCGCCTGTGTACACCACAGTGCTTGCGTGCACCGCAGCGCCTGTGCACGCCACAGCGCGTGTCTACACCACGGCATCCGCGTGCAGCGCAGCGCTGGTGTACACCACAATGCCTGCGTGCATAGGACAGGTAGAAGGCGCATGTATGTGAGGATCTGCTGCGGACAACTACGTACTGACAATCGAATGCGACCTTCTTCTTTCCTCCCTCCTCCTTCTCCACCTCCTCCTCCTCCGCCTCCTCCTCCTTACCCCCTGTCGTGCGGGTTGGCGCTACAGCGCACGTGCGCATCTCAGCGCGCACTGCAGAATGGTGTGTTGAATCGGTCCGCTTGGTTCTCGGACGGCCAATTTAGCTGGAACCTCCTGGACGCAAAGGGAGGAGTTAGGGTGATGCCGGCGGACTTGGGAGGACTCGTAGATTCCAACGGCGGTCCGTTGTCCATAAGGAGTAGCTTATACTGTTTTCTGTGGAATCCACAAGCGCTCTATTTCGTCATAAGGATTCGTTCTCACATTCTATATACAACAATGGTGCTGTGTTGCACACGTTTGCTGTAGTGCACACAGGCGCCGTGGTGTATTGCACACGGCTGATGTGGTGAACGCAAGCGCTGTGGTGTGCACAAGAGCTGTTGTGCCCGCAGGCACGGTGGCACAAACTGACGCTGTGTTGCACGCGGCTGCTGTGGTGTACAGAGGCGGTGGTGTACACAGGCGCTGTGGTGCACGCAGGCACTGTGGTGTACTCAGGCGTTGTGGCGCAAATCGCCACCTACATGCTGGCCGTCCTCCGTCATTCCTAAGCATTCCTAAACGCCGCCGGCGCGAAACGTGACGTCATCGACCCCCTCCATCCCCCCCCTAGATGATTGCCGTCTTCGGCCCGGAATAAAAGACAGGCTTCAGCCGCGTCCGCGCGCACGACGACTATGAGCGACGAGCGACAAACCACGAGCGACGACGACGACGACGAATGCGGACCAGACTCCTATGCGGAGTCTAACGCGGACACCTACGCGAATCCCAATGCGCACAGCGGCAGTGCTCGGAGCGCACCGGGGGGCAGTGCCCGGAGCGCACTGGAGGGGGCAGCGTTACGTCATAGGGGGGGGAGGGCCGGGGGCCATGACGCCCGTCATGCCCCAAGCAATGAAGAAACGGGCTCGAGAAGTCTCGACCCATGCCCTGGGACGGGCCTTTCATCCGGAGTCTTTTTTGACGGTCCGGGAGCCTGGCGAGGGCCCCCAAAGGCCAACACTAGCAACAAACCTCCCTTCGCTATTTCTTTACACGCGAAGGGGGCTGGGATGGGAGGCGGGAGGAGGAGGAGGAGGAGGAGGAGGAGGATGAGGAGGCAGGGGGCGCCAGTCCCGGCGAGTCCCAGCCTGGCCGGTGCGGTTGGCGCGCTGCACGAGGAGCGCGCGCTTGTTCACTTCGGCGTCCAACGCGGACGTGTGCCCCGTCTGCCCCGGGGGCCGCCGTCGTCGTCGTCGTCGTCGTTGTCGTTGTCGTCGTCGCCGCATTCGTCGCGGGGGGGGGGGAGAGGGGGGGAGGAGGAGAAGGAGGATAAGGAGGATAAGGATGAGGAAGAGGAGGAGGAGGGGGAGGATGAGGAGGAGGAGGAGGAGGACGGTTCTCTCTTGCTTCCCATCGGTGGAGCACGCTCTCAAAGCAGGTTTTGACTGTCAAGGCGGCTTCAGGTCTCCATCCGCCCAATGGCCGCCTTCCTTGTGCCGAATCGTTGCTCCGCGTTGTCGTGATCGTGTAGCTGGATCGGCCCCCACGTGACCGATCGGCCAGTTCACCTCTCCTGATGGGTTCGGCGCTCCACTGTGTGTGCCCATGGACGCGTACAGTCGAGGTACTACAAGAAGGAACGCCAAAGAAGAAACGAAGGGGCTTTTCCGGCAACGGCGGGCCTGGGCCACAAACAAATCCCGCGTCATAAATCTAAGCCACGACCCAAACCCCCGAGCTCCTTCCGAACCCAAAGCGGTCGTTATTTCAGCGTCTTGGCTGCACTGGGGGTCGGTCGGGAGCGCCGCCGTCGGCGGCGAGGAGGGTCGCCCGCGCCTGTTGCCCTCGTCTCCGTCTTCTCCCCATGCACGTAGCACTGTTGTGGACACCGCGGACACATCGTCTTTCAGGGGAGCGCGCAGGAAGAGGAGGAGGAGGAGGAGGAGATTTACCCTACTGACTGGGAGATGCATTTGTGAAAGGGGGCATGGGCTCTGATATGCGCTATCCCGCGTTGGAACGCCCCGCTCCCCCCCACGGAGAACGTTTGGTCGAAAAGTCAGCAAAGCTATTATGCAGGCGCGGGTTTCCCCTGACAAGCGGGAGAAAGCGCACGAGACTCCGCACATGTTTTGGGAACTGGCGCCGACGACCTGCATGCCACACGGGCTGCGGCGTCGGAGCCGCCCCTCTTCGGAGTGTGGGGCGGGACTTCCGCGGGTCTGCCAGCGACCGAGCGAGCCCTGCAGCCCACTGCAGGCAGGGCATGCAGGGTGCCCCCCGTCCTCCTCCTCCTCCTCCTCCTCCTCCTCCTCCTCCTCCTCTTCTTTCTCCTCCTCCTCCTCCTCCTCTTCCTCCTCCTCCTCTTCTTTCTCCTCCTCCTCCTCCTCCTCGTCCTCCCCTGTCTCCCCCTGCCCCACTCCTCCGACATCGTTTAGCTCGCAACGTGGGCCCGTGGAGGTCTCGAGCCCCTGCCTGGGCCGGTCTTTTACCCCAGTCGGGGGTGGGGGCCCAGATGCAATCAGCTGCTGACAACCCTCGGTCATGACTTCTCCAAAGCGCGAGGAGGTCTGGGGCCCCCGCCGACTAGCCACACCTGGAGGAGCTGTGCTTCTGGCACCCCTGGGGAGCCCTCGTATCGACGACCCCTTCGAAGGGGGTACCGAGACCGAGGGGCCCCACAAGGGGAGTAAGGACCACAGCCTCAACAATGATGACTGGTCTATGTCCTGGCCCATGTCAAGAGACGGGCCCAAGAACTCTCTCGGGGTGCTCTCTGGCCAGAACTTCGAAGCGAATCAAGCCGTGGCCCCAAGGAGCCTCCTAGACGCCCGAAAGGGTCGCAGCAAGAACACCCCAAAAACTCAATCATCGAAGCTCCACCCCTGAGGCCCGCCGCTGCGAATTAGATGGAAACAGAAAATCACGACCGGTTCCCTTGACCCCGTCTTCCTTCGGCCTCGTTTTAGGCCCGATCGACCTGTGGTCCTGGGACACGACACGGGGCCAGGCGAAACCGCTCTCTCCCCTGACTCTGTCCGGAGTGTCCCAGCGACTCAGCGTATTGTTTTTTTCCCAACCATCCTGTGGTGTTGGGTCCTCGTTTTGAAGAGACGGTGCCCCGCGTCTCCTTCCTCCTTCCTCCTCCGCCTCCTCTCCTCTGCCGTCCGCATGCGTCCCGCACACCCATTTCGGCACACCCCTCACACGTTTCGTGGCCCCATAGGGAGCTCCACCGAAGGCCCCAGTGCTGCCGTCCGCATGCGTCCCCACACCCATTTCGGCACACCCCTCACACGTTTCGTGGCCCCATAGGGAGCTCCACCGAAGGCCCCATGCTGCCGTCCGCATGCACCCATTTCGGCACACCCCTCACACGTTTCGTGGCCCCATAGGGAGCTCCACCGAAGGCCCCATGGCTGCCGTCCGCATGCGTCCCGCACACCCATTTCGGCACACCCCTCACACGTTTCGTGGCCCCACAGGGAGCTCCACCGAAGGCCCCAGTGCTGCCGTCCGCATGCGTCCCGCACACCCATTTCGGCACACCCCTCACACGTTTCGTGGCCCCACAGGGAGCTCCACCGAAGGCCCCAGTGCTGCCGTCCGCATGCGTCCCGCACACCCATTTCGGCACACCCCTCACACGTTTCGTGGCCCCATAGGGAGCTCCACCGAAGGCCCCATGGCTGCCGTCCGCATGCGTCCCGCACACCCATTTCGGCACACCCCTCACACGTTTCGTGGCCCCACAGGGAGCTCCACCGAAGGCCCCAGTGCTGCCGTCCGCATGCGTCCCGCACACCCATTTCGGCACACCCCTCACACGTTTCGTGGCCCCATAGGGAGCTCCACCGAAGGCCCCATGGCTGCCGTCCGCATGCGTCCCGCACACCCATTTCGGCACACCCCTCACACGTTTCGTGGCCCCACAGGGAGCTCCACCGAAGGCCCCAGTGCTGCCGTCCGCATGCGTCCCGCACACCCATTTCGGCACACCCCTCACACGTTTCGTGGCCCCACAGGGAGCTCCACCGAAGGCCCCAGTGCTGCCGTCCGCATGCGTCCCGCACACCCATTTCGGCACACCCCTCACACGTTTCGTGGCCCCACAGGGAGCTCCACCGAAGGCCCCATGGCTGCCGTCCGCATGCGTCCCGCACACCCATTTCGGCACACCCCTCACACGTTTCGTGGCCCCACAGGGAGCTCCACCGAAGGCCCCAGGCTGCCGTCCGCATGCGTCCCGCACACCCATTTCGGCACACCCCTCACACGTTTCGTGGCCCCATAGGGAGCTCCACCGAAGGCCCCAGTGCTGCCGTCCGCATGCGTCCCGCACACCCATTTCGGCACACCCCTCACACGTTTCGTGGCCCCATAGGGAGCTCCACCGAAGGCCCCATGGCTGCCGTCCGCATGCGTCCCGCACACCCATTTCGGCACACCCCTCACACGTTTCGTGGCCCCACAGGGAGCTCCACCGAAGGCCCCAGTGCTGCCGTCCGCATGCGTCCCGCACACCCATTTCGGCACACCCCTCACACGTTTCGTGGCCCCATAGGGAGCTCCACCGAAGGCCCCATGGCTGCCGTCCGCATGCGTCCCGCACACCCATTTCGGCACACCCCTCACACGTTTCGTGGCCCCACAGGGAGCTCCACCGAAGGCCCCAGTGCTGCCGTCCGCATGCGTCCCGCACACCAGGTGTGTGGCGTGCCGACATGGGCGTCGCGGCGCGCTGGGCGCTGCCGTCGGGGTTCCCATGCGTCCCGCACAGCCCCCGTCGCGGCGCGCGGGCGCTGCCGTCGGGGTTCCCAGGGAAGCCCCCTGCAGAGGCGACGCTCAGAGTCACGAGTACCGAGAGTCACGCAGACCCAAACTGTTCACAGTCGTATACATACATTTACACTGGGCGTATCCATGCACGCATTCATGCGAATAGAATCAATCGCGCGCAGATTCATTCATAATCAGACTCGCTCGCGATCCGACTCGCACGCGCTCAAGCTTTCATATTCGGACCTATCGTCTTCGTTCGTGTTGTGTACACTGCCACGCATTTCGGCACACCCCTCATACGGCTCGTGGCCCCATAGGGAGCGCCACCGAAGAAGATATTCACAATTGCGGTACTCTCAACTGCATATGGTTGGGTCCTTCGCCAGGCTAATTTGTTACACGCAGGATGTTATTATTTGGTTGTCCCTACGTGTTTGTTCCCAACCATCCTGTGGTGTTGGGTTCTCGTTTTGAAGAGACAGCGCCCCGCGTCCTCCCTCCTCCTCCTGCTCCTCCCCTCCACCCTCCTCCTCCCCCTCCTCCCTGCGTTTCACCCACCCATGAAAATGTTTCGTGGCCACATAGGGAGCCCCACCAAGGGTCCAAGTGCTGCCGGCCGCATGCGTCCCGCACACCCAGTACAGCGTTTCGTGGCCCTCATCCCCCTGCTCCCTGCGTTTCACCCATCCAATACAACGTTTCGTGGCCCCATAGGGAGCCCCACCGAAGGTCCCAGTGCCGCCGTCCGCATGCGTCCCGCACACCCAGTACAGCGTTTCGTGGCCCTCATCCCCCTGCTCCCTGCGTTTCACCCACCCAGTACAGCGCTTCGTGGTTCCATAGGGAGCCCCGCCGAAGGTCCCAGTGCTACCGTCCGCATGCGTCCCGCACACCCAATACAGCATATCCTGGCCCCATAGGAAGCCCACCGAAGGTCCCAGTGCTGCCGCCCGTGTGCGTCCCCCCCCCCACCCAATACAGCGTTTCGTGGCCCTCCTCCCCCTGCTCCTTGCGTTTCACCCACCCAGTACATCGCTTCGTGGCCCCATAGGGAGCCCCATCGAAGGTCCCAGTGCTGCCGCCCGTATGCGTCCCGCACACCCAGTACAGCGTTTCGTGGTCGTCCTCCCCCTCCTCCCTGGTCCCTGGGTTTCACCCACCCAATACAATTTTTCGTGTGCGAGACGTGCGAGGGATACTGTTGCAGCTCATGCAGAGTAGTGTGATTGCAGAGTTGTTGTGAGCCGGCGCGGAGCATGTAGTTTCACGCTTTGAGTGCCGCCTGCCCTTCAGAGGACCGCTCCTACGGGAGCCGGCGAGCAGGCTGAACTGAACCGAACTGAACTGAACTGAACAATACAATCTTTCGTGGCCCCATGAGGAACCCCACCGAAGGTGCGAATGGTGATGCCCGCATGCGTCTCGCATACCCATTACAGCGCTTTGTGGCCCCAAGGGGAGCTTTACCGAAACCACCAGTGGGACCGTCCGCGCGCGTCCCGAAACACCTAATTTGGCATTTTCGTCCACCCAATACAGCGTCTCGTGGCCCCATAGGGAACTCCACCGAAGGCCCCAGTGCCGCCGTTCGCATGCGTCCCGAAAACACAATGTGGTATTTTCACTCACCCTGTACAGCGTCTCGTGGCCCCATAGGGAGCCCCACCGACGGCCCCAGTGGGACTGTCCGCAAGCGTTCCGGAACCCAATGTGGTATTTTCACTCACCCAGTACAGCGCTTCGTGGCTCTATAGAGAGAGCTCCACCGAAGGCTTCAGTGCCACCGTCCGCATGCGTCCCGGAAGCCCAATGTGGAAACTTCACCCGCCCAGCACAGCGCTTCGTGGCTCCATATGGAGCTCCACCGAAGCGCCCAGTGGGACCGTCCGCGTGCGTCCCGGAAACTTAATTTGGTATCTCCTCCCACCCAATGAAACGTTCCGTGGCCCCATAGGGAGCTCCACCGAAGCCCCAGTGCCACCGTCCGAATGCGTCCCCGAAACCCAATGTGGCATTTTCATACACCCATTACAACATTTTGTGGCCTCAAGAGAAACTCCACCGAAACGCCCAGTGGGACCGTCCGCATGCGTCCCGGAAGCCCACTTTGGCACACCACCCACTCAGTACGGCGCTCCCCCCACCCAGTGCAGCGCTTCGTTGCCCCATAGGGAGCTTCATGGTTGGGTCCTTCGCCAAGATAGTTCCCAACCATCCTGTGGTGTTGGGTCCTCGTTTTGAAGAGACAACGCCCCGCGTCCTCCCTTCTCCTCTTTCTCCCCCACCCTCGTCCTCCCACCCGTCATCATCACCATCATCGTCATCATCATCGCCGTCATCAGCACCATCACCCCTCACGCATTTCGTGGCCCCATAGGGAGCTCCACCGAAGGCCCCAGTGCCGCCGCCCGCATGCGTCCCGCATACCCAATTCGGCACAGCCCTCACACGCTTCGCGGCCACATAGGGACCTCCACCGAAGGCCCCAGTGCCGTCGGCCGCACGCGTCCCGCACGCCCAATTCGGCACACCCCTCACACGCTCCGTGGCCCCATAGGGAGCTCCACCGAAGGCCCCAGTGCCGCTGGCCGCATGCGTCCCGCACACCCAAGTCGGCACACCCCTCATACGTTTCGTGGCCACATAGGGAACTCCACCGAAGGCCCCAATGCCGCCGTCCGCATGCGTCCCGCATACCCAATTCGGTCACCGAAGGCCCCAGTGCCGCCGGCCGCATGCGTCCCGCACACCCAATTCGGCACACCCCTCACACGTTTCGTGGCCCCGTAGGGACGTCCACCGAAGGCCCCAGTGCCGCCGTCCGCATGCGTCCCGCACGCCAAATTCGGCACACCCCTCACACGCTTCGTGGCCCCATAGGGAGCTGCTGGTCCCGACAGCTTCCCCAGGGCCGATTTCTTCGTCGTCGTCGTCCGTCGTCGACGTCCGACCTGCGCGCGTCGCGGGGGCTCCGCGCAGCGCGGCGCACGCAGGCTTGAACTTTGGAGTGCGCGGGCAAAGAAGTAAAAAAAGGGGAGGAAGCGGGCGCGATCTTCGTGTGGGCCGTGCCGACATGGGCGTCGCGGCGCGCGGGCGCTGCCGTCGGGGTTCCCAGGGAAATTCCTTGCGGAGGCCACGCTCAGTGTCACGAGTTCTCAGAATCAGGCACACCCAAATCATTCACAGTCGTATGCATTTACATGAGGCGACTCCATGCTCGCAGTCATGCAACTAGAAACCATCGCACGCATATTCATTCAGAACCAGACTCACTCGCGCTTAGACTCGCCCGCGCTCAAGCTTTCATACTCAAGCCTTTCGTTATCGTTCGTGTTGTGTACCCTATCACACAATTCGGCACACCCCTCATACGGCTCGTGACCCCATAGGGAGCACCACCGAATAATATCTTCAAAATTGCGGTATTCACAACTGCGTATGGTCGGGTCCTTCGCCAAGCTAATTCAATCGGGTCATTTCTGGTTCTTCCGAAATGGTGTTCCCGTCATTTCCGCGCTTCGGTCATTCTAGATGGTGCTCCCGCTGCAGCGCTGGCCTCGTTCCCGCACCTCCAGTTGTTCCAAATCGTGTTCCCGCAGAAGCACTGGCGTGCTCGGTCCTTCCAACTCGCCCTTTCGCTGTAGCGCTGGCTTCGCTCCAAAGCGCACTCCCGCCTTATTCCCGTTTTCGGTCCTCGTCTCGCTCCCACAGTCCAGTCCTTCTACATCGTGCTCCCGCTGCAGCGCTGGTCTCATTTCCGTCGGTGCACCTCTGGGCGATGTCGTGCTTTGTGTTGCTGCGCTTTGCGACGCAACGCTTCACTACGCAATGCCACGCCATGCTATGACATGCTATGTTCGGCCGTGCTCTTCTACGCCACGCTTATCCACCCACCGCGTAATGTAAGGAAACGATATATATATATATATATATATATATATATATATATATACGCATCTATATATATATATATATATATATATATATATAACAAAACTTTCTGGGGCGGGCGATAAAAACATGTTTCGCGGGCCTCCTCGCCCCCGCAATAGCGGGGGGGCAGGGCAGGCAGACGGGGGGCTGACAATTCCGGATTGCCTGGAAGGCCAGGGGGGGGCACGAGGTGGCGATCCAGGGCGCGGGGGCCAGGGTGGTGGACGGGGTGATTTTGCAGGGCGAGCTCGTCCTCCTCCTCCTCCTCCTCCTCCTCCTCCTCCTCCTCCTCCTCCTCCTCCGCCCCCCCCTCGCCCTCCTCCTCCTCTCCTCCTCCTCCTCTTCCTCCTCCTCCTCTCCCTTTTCCTCCCTCTCCTTTTCGTCCTCCTCCTTCTTTTTCTCTTCCTCCTCGTTTTTCTCCTCCTCGTCCTCCTCCTCCTTCTCCTTTTCTCCGTTTCTTCCTCCTCGTTCTCCTCCTGTTCGTCCTCCCCCCCCCCCCGTCCGCAAGGACGAGGGCGGCCCTCTCGCTGTCTCGCCTCTCTTTCCTCCTCGTCGCCGCGCGCCGCAGTCCGCAATCCGCAGATCCGCTCTACTTTGGTTTTTTTCCAACTTAGAATTGCGTCGGAAATCCACCTATAAGGAGCCGAAAAAGTACGGCGGAAATTTCTGCACCCAACATCAAACGGGGCGAAGATCCGCAGAAGTAGGGCGGAAACAACAACAGAAAAGTAGAGCGGAAATTGGCATCAGCGGGGGTTGAAAAGTAAGGCGCAAATTCCAAGCCCTACTTAATTACGAATTTCCCAAAAAAAAGTAAAGCGGATCCGGAGTCAGGGAAGGGAAGCGGGCGCCCCGCGGCCGCCCCCCCTCGAATTGCGCAACGGCGCGCGCGGAAGAGAATTCTGGCGGAGAAAGGCAAAACAAGGCGGACCGTCTGTGGCGGTGCTCTGCCATGCTACGCTTTGATCTCGAACGCCATGCTATGCAATGTTATGTTCGGGGCCGCTGTGCGATGCCATGCTTTGCGTTGCAAAGATTGGTAATGCAATTCTGCACTGCGCCACGCGACGCCATGTTGTGACATACTACATTTTGCGGTGCTCTTCAACGCCCTGCCATGCCGTGTTCTACAATGCATCGCGTACCCTTTCGAGATCATTGCCCTGCTCGACATCCAACTGTGCGAGTAGAGAGGGGATCTACGCCATGGTAAGGGATGGGAGGGAGGGGTAGGCTGTCATATATGAAGCGAACGCCGGGGGGCGGACGATTAAAACAACAGTTTCCGGCGGCTGAATTCTATTAGTCCGCCCCACTCAATCATTTTGGGGGGTCCGGGGGGTGGGGAGGCGTTTTTTTCTTAAAAGAATCGCTTCCTCGCATTACCCTCTTGGGATCATCGCCCGCCATGGAAAGGGATGGGAGGGAGGGGTAGGACGTGAGATGTGACGCTAGCGCACCTAGCTTGCTTTTCCCCCGTCCTCCCTCGCCCCCCCCCGCTCCTTCCCCTTCCCATCCTTCCCTCCTCCCCTCCTTCCCTGCGTCCCCCCTCGGCGAAGGTCAGGTCTCGGGAACGGCCAAGAGGGGGGTGTCCAAGAGGGGGGGGTGCAGATCATGGCCGGCGACATGTGCGCGGCCCAGGGGGAGAGCCAGGGACGCACTGAAGTAAGAAGGGGCACCATGACCCCCGCCATCATGGCCCCCGCCATGCGATTCCCCCCCCCCCTGGCCATCACCCCCCTCTTGGCCGCCCCCGAAGGTCTGGGCCCCGCGAGACCCCGCCAGGATCTCCAGCACCTGCGCCAGGGCGGCCAGTTCCTCCCCCCTCGTGGCGGAGCGCTGGTCCTCGGGGCGGGGCAGGGCGCCGCCGCCCGCCGGCGACGCCGTCGCCGTCGCCCCGCCGTCGGCGGCGCCTCGGGCCCAGACACCCTCGCGCCGATTTGGCGGCGCGCACGAAGCGGGGGTGAGGGAAGGGGGAAGGCCTCTCAGAAGAAGGCTGCTTCCAAGAAGCCTTCCCCCTCCCCCCAGCCCCCATCTGCGCGTGGCTGAGTCGTCAAGAACTCACGGCGGTGGTTCTGTTCTTGTTGAGTTGTTCCGCCCCTGTGGGGGCCTCCGCCGGGCCCCAGAACCATCCTAGGGAATCGAACTCTATACACCGACGCTTCTTCCGGCCATGCACCGAAATTCGCACTGGAGAGCGGATCCTGGTGTATACGGGACCCTGGTGCATACGGGATCCTGGTGTGTGTATATATGTGTATATATATACATACATACATATATACACATTCGCTGGTTCCTGGGAAGCGGAACAACAAGTATACACCACACCGCCCTGGCGTCGTCCCCAACCCTCAAAAAGTCCTGGGATTGAGAAACAGCCCGCCACTGGCGATGTACATGTCCCGGTTCCCGACATCCAGAAAAGACTCGGGCTGGAAACCCAGTCCCGAGGAGACTGGGTCGAGTCGAGACCTCCGGGGGTCGACGTTGCGAGAAGCATCATGGCGTCGGGGTTCTGTGGGAGTGGCCCTCCCTGAGGTTTCTCGTCCTCCCTGAGGTTTCTCGTCCTCCCTGAGGTTTCTCGTCCTCCCTGAGGGTTCTATGGGAGTGGCCACTCGGGGCAGCAGAGGCCCTCCCCGAGGTTTTCTCGTCCGCCCTGGGTCTCCCGGGGGCGCCTCGTCGCCCCGGCTGGGCCCGCCTCGGACAGGCAGCGAGCCAGGGGGGGGGGGGAAGTGAGAAGGGGCGTGCCTTCTCAGAAGGCTCGGAAGTCCCCCGGCCGTCTGAGAAGTGTTCTAAGCCTTCCCCGAAGACAGAAAAAAAACTTCTCAGGAGGCCGGAGGCCTTCTGAGAAGCCCCGCCGCCTCCCGAGAAGGCCTTCTCCTTCTCGTTTCCCCCCCTCGCTCGCCGCCGATCGGAGAGCAGCTCCTGGGAGGGGCCTCCGAAAGAGAAACAGACTGGCTAAGCATCAGCTTTCGGAGATCCGCGCGGGCTTCTGGGATCGGCGCGGGGGGCAGGAAGAAGAAGCGCCATGGACATAAACTGTTGGCGCTTCGCGCAGATTTCTTGGATCTGCGCTGGGCCCCCCCCTTGGAGCGCAGCGCCGCCAGGGGCGGCGCTGGAGGCGCCGTCGGGGGGGGCCCGGCGCGGCTCCAAGAGATCCGCGCGGAGCGCCAAAAGCTTATGTCTGTGGCGTCTTTCTCCTTCGAGCCGGACCCCCACTCCCTGGCACGCGGAGCGCGCCAGGGGCGGCGCCAGAGGCGCCGCCATTGGGGGGGGGCGAGGAGAGAGAGAGGACGAGGAGGAGAAGACGAGAAGGAGGAGGAGGAGGAGGAGGAGGAGGAGGAGGAGGAGGAGGGGTCCAGCGCCGCCTGGAAGAATCCGCACGGACCTTACGCAGAACGTCCGGGGGCAGGATTCCGAGCGGGCTCGGGACGGGCGGGAGGGCCGCCGCCTGTCTCGGCCACGGGCGGCGGGGGTCGCACTCCGCGCGGGCGCGCTCCGCGCGGGCGCGGAGCGCTTCGCGCTCTCGCGCCGCCCCCCTGGGTCGGGTCGGGCGAAAGGGGGGGATAGCAAAGGGGGGGGGGGGGAGAATCAGCTCACGTAGCTGATTTTCCCGGCGCCTCCCGGCGCCGGAGGCGGCTATCTATCGAGGAATGGGCCCCTCGGTGAGGCCGAAACCAGCTGCATGCAGCAGATTTCGTACCCCCCCCTTTCCCAATCCCCCCCTTTCGTCCGGCCCGACTGGGGAGAGGGAGGACGGGGAGGATGTCAGACCCACTAGGCCATGGCAGCAGGGCTGGGCCGAAACGCTGTTTTTCGCTCTGTTCTCGTGGTGCTAGACACCTGCTTTCCTGCACCTCCCTGCAGAAACCAAGAAGAAAGTACAGCCGAAGTCCAGCAAGGCAGCGTTTGGGTCCAGCCCAGGGCCATAGACTCGCGATTATCCCTGTGTTTTTCGACGTCGCGCGTTGATTTTTTCTCGCAAGATGGTCCAAGATGCTCCCTCGGTGGTCCTCGCGCCGAGGCGAAGACGCAAACGTGCGGCCGATGCCGAGTAGAGGAGGCGCTACCGATGGGCCAGAAGCTTCCTGACGGCCACCTTCCTCCTGGCGATGGCGCGTGCGCGGAGGAGGTCTTCCACACCCGCGGGCCCCGCCCTGTTCTGGGAGCGCAGACCCCTCAAAACAAGTGAGAGCGAGGCAATCTCGGGAGCGACGATGGGGCGAATACAGCCCAGGGGAGAGCAGTACGTGTCCCAGGGCGCCAAGGTCCCATGCCTTCGGCGAGGCTCCCAAGTGAATGCGTGCGATGCCGGGCCCTGGGTTCTTCGCCCTCTTCGTCGCCGCCGATACGAGGAGGAGGAGGAGGAGGAAGAGGAGGAGAAGGAGGAGGAGGACGAGGAGGAGGAGGAGGAGGAGGAGAAGGAGGAGGAGGAGCAAGCCGCGAGCAGCTCTGCGCCCTCGCGGCGGCCCTTCTCAGCCGGCCCTCCTCCGGGCGCCGCCGCCGGCGGCACCGTCGCCAGAGAGCCGCGCTCGGGGCAGGCGCCGAGCCCCAGCAAGGTCGTCGCCGTCGTCGGCGGCGTCGTCGTCGTCGGCTTCGTCGTCGTCGTCGTCGTCTTCGTCGTCGTCGTCTTCGTCGTCGTCGTCTTCGGCACTGTCGTCGTCGTCGTCGTCTTCAGCACTGTCGGCGTCGGCGCCGCCGTGCAGCCAACTCCGCTGGAAACCGACCTCTGGACCTCTGCGGGGGCCCCCCCGGAGCAGCTCTTCGGGCCGCGCCCAGGCGTGGCGACGAGAACCCCCCAAACTCTCGAAACTCACAAGGGGCCACTGGCGCCGTGGGCGCCATCTCTGTCGTCAATGTCGTCGGCGGAGACACCGTCGTGGGCGATGCTGCCATCACCGCTAGCGGGCACCGCCGCCGGAGGCAGCAGCGGCAGCGCCGCGGCGGCGCCGTTGTCGTCGCCTTGCTCCTGCTTCTTATCGTTTCCCTCCTTCCCCTCCTTTCTTGCCTCTCTCCGTCCTTCCCTCTCTCGTATTCCCCTCCCCTCACTCCAACTCAGACCTCGCCTGGGCCTCGAAATCCCAAACTCCCCCATCCTTCCGCCCTCCTTCGCCTTCGCCTCTTCTCGGTCCCGTGAGATCCGAAGTTTCGAAAAGATCCAACATCACGAAATTCACGGCTGAAGCCCTAGACCCGATCTTCATGTTGCATTTTTCGAGCTGGATTTCTGCATGATGGCCCGAAACTGAAAGAAAACGCCCAGTGTGAAGAAATTCCAACCCCTGATCACTGGGTCCCTCCCTCCTTCCCCTCCTTCCCTCCTCCCCCCTCCCCGCTCCCTCCATCCTGCCTCCCTCCCTCCCTCCTCCCCCCTTCCCTCGTCCGCACGATCCCGCGGGCTAGCGCGAGCCGGGGCGCGACCGGGCGAGAGGCCAGAGTGGCTCGACGGTAGACGGCAAACAGGATAGCGTCATCGGCGCCTCTCCCCCCCCGGAGGTGGACGCGTTCTCTCTCCCCGGATCTCCGACGATATGCTTTTCCCGATGCAGCTTGTCTGTCGGGGTTCCACATGCTGCTTCTAATCCCTAATGGCCGGTGAGGGAGCCTGGGCCGCGCAACCTGTGGCCGATCGTGGTCCCCAATCGTGGCCGCCCATCGTGAACTGCGCAAAGCTGCTTAAGGCATTTTGCCACAAGGGCTTCGTTTCAATCCCGGTGTTCCCCCTGGACTTCGGCATCTGGGGACCGTTTTCTTACCAGCCTCGAACGTATCCCTATCCCTAAGATTGACACGCCAAAAGGCGATGACAATCTTAGGGATTCGCCCTCAAAAAATAAGGGAATCCCTAAGATTGGCATCGTGATGATGAGGTGCCCAGCATAGGGATAGGGATATGTTCCAGGCTGGTAAGTTTTCGGGACCCGAAGCCATCAAAAGCAGACTCGGGACAAAAAGCTGCCCCCCGGGAGTGGGTCAGGACACCTGGGCCCGCACACTGAACAACAACGCATCGTCGGATGTGTAGGTTTCTCTCTCTCTCTCTCGTCCCCTGTCTTTCGTCCGGTCCCCTTCCCTTTTCGCTCACGCACGTAGGCGCTATTTAATCCTGGGTTTCGACACTTGGCCGAAGGGTGGGGGAGGGGGGGTGGGGGGGGCGTCTGGGCCTGGGGCGGTGCTTAGTCGATCTGCTGTTGCCAGTCGCGCCAGCAGACCGAGGGGAAGGGTGAAGGGGCCCTGGGACACACAAATAAATACACACAAATAACCAGATTCCCCATATGTTCCAATATTTTCTGGGGTTTTGTCTCCCCCCCACTTCCCATATTTTCCTATATTTTCTGAAGAATCGACGATTCATTGTGTCTGTGTGTTTTTTTCCTCCTAAAAGGGGTCCTGCCCAGTCGCCAGGAGCAGTCGAGGTCTGGCCTATGGAGGGGGGAGGAGGCCAGGGGCCCGCGCTGATCGGCTCAACGATGCTCAAAGCAACTACGACCTCCCGCTTCTGCTTCCCGCCTTGCCGCTCCGCCATCCCCTGATCCGATCTCGATGCTGACCCTCCTATCCCTGGCCTTCTGCAGAGACCGCTGGCATCCTCATCCCCGTTCGGCAGGCTCGTGTCGTGATGACGTCGGCGTTGGTTTCTGACACCGCGTGACTCGTTCAACCTTGATCGTGCCTTTCCGGAACCGCGGATCGCGCGATACAAGCCAATTCCCAGCCCCTGGCGTCCCCACCACGTCGACACGACACGGACATACCACCTGCTATACAGGGCAACGGCACGGACTCGATTCGCCGGAGTCTCGGTTCGCCGGGGCTCGCTTCGCCGGGGTCGGGCTCGC